TGAAGTGTCTTGATAAGCCTATAAAAAAATCAAAAAAGTTCACCGTAAATGCTTTTATAAAAGGATTCATATATCTTGAATAAATAATTAAAATTATTTTTTTTTTCAATGCTCAAATGATCTTATCCATAAATTGCATCGGTTTGATTCTTGAATTTTTTTCGATGCCAAAAATTCAAATTAATGTTTGAATGAAGAATATTTTGTATAACACCAATTCTTTGCCACCATTATTATCTAAAGAATCATTAAAACTATTTAAATTTTTATTTATAATTTTATGTCACTAAAAATAATCATTTCACCAACTAATTTCGTAGATTTCATATGTTCATATCATTTTAGATTATATTTTCTCATTTTATTTTTTTTAATTTTGTATATAATTAATATAATATTTATATAAAAAATTAGAAAAAAAGAGCATTGAATGGTATAAATATTATAGACAAAGCTTTACGCACCGTGTCATCGAGCTGCGGCCCCCACCTGTCAACGCAGACGTGTCGCGCAGGCAGAGGAGGAAAAGGAGGTGGGGCCGGGGGCACCGCTTCCGCAACATCTGTACTGCTTTAAGACGACCTTCCCCCACAAAAGAAGCCACACCACAGCCTCCGACTCTCCCGATCTGGTTCCCACCCAGTCTTCCCTACACCAATGTCTCTGTTTCCTCCTATTTGATCGAGTCCGATTCAAGTTCTTCCTGGTCGTAACAGAGAGCAACGATTGCTTGCAATGGAGATCGGAGAGGAGCCTAATAATTCCTTGGTAATTAAGCTTGTATAGGCTGTTCTCCCATCTTGTTGCTTCCATGAATCCTTATTGCTTCGTCATCTAATTTACAGAGTTCATCAGAGGAATCCGCCATGACCGGAGGCAGGCCGCGCTTACTGCATAGCTCCGGCACTTCACTCGTCTCCATCGCCCGCAAGTCCTACGGACGAATCGAAGAACTCGATGGCTACGTGGGTTTGCTAGCTCGACTGGTGGCCTTCGTGGCGGGCCCCTTCGTGCGCCCGGTGGAGCGGCGATGGCTGTCTTGGCTCTCCTTCCTCGACTGCATAATACTGACGACGGAGAAGATATTGGTGTTCATCTTCCCGCCGCTCGAACCAGTCTTCACGAAGATTGATGAGCTTGCCCCCCTTGTCGATTCTCTTCCCGAGAAGTTCGATGGCGTGATCGATCAACTACTGCTGGTGATGTCCGGATCGAGCAATGAGGAGGAGGAACGGGATGAAGAACAGGAAACGAAACAGAGGAGTAGATGCGAAGGTGACCATGAATGGAAGAGGGCCAAGGAGGAGGTGCCGGAGGAGGAGGATATGAGGGAGGTGGAGAAGAGTTGTGAGGAGATCCTGGGGGCCCTGAAGAAGATCGGAATGGTGGAGGAAGGAGGTAATGCTGATAGAGATCATGATCGAGGAAAAGGTGCAGCAGGGAGGATGAAGGGAGCTGGTGGTGCTGAGCCACAGAAGGAGAATTCTGATCTGATGATGGGGGATGCCATGCTAGAGTTGTTTGATGAAGGGTGGCATCAGAAACGTCTGACAGGATAAAATTGCCAATAAGAGAGCTGTTAATATCATCAATTTTTTTTTTTTTTTGTCTTGTAGTCAATTAGAAAGATACAATTATGTTCTTTATGAAGCTTGAACTTTTGATGCATTATATCATTACGTGAAATGGATCTCCACATTGTCTATAAAAGGTGCAAATTGGATCTCAACAAAAGCTCGTTTGGAGCAAGAGAGCGATGACAATGTACATCTTTCCACTTCACAAAGGCAAAGTAAAAGAAGAACACGAACCTAAGATACAATGGCAAATTTTATAGCCAGTGATCAACATCCCTAGCATTGGAACAGTGCAAAACTCTTGTTCTTCCATATGGAATTCAGCTTCTTTGATCTTGCTTTACATGATGGCCTTGCCTCCATGATCAGCTCACCACCCTGCTGCTGCTCGCGTTGTCGCTGCTCTCTGAACAACTTCAGCAATTTCCTTGCCTTCTCCTGCCCTGCACTTGTCCCGTTCAGAGAGATCGATACTAAGGCCGGCACGACGCCTTCCTGCAACACCATTTGGCTGCACTCATTGTTGTCATTGCACAGGATCAAGAGGCAAGACACAGCCTTCTCTTGCTCTTCAGGCTCACCGGTGTCCAAGACCTCTGCAAGTTCACCGACAAGGCCTCGGGTCGATACCATCTCTTCCCTTCCAGATTTGGTGGATGCTAAGTTTACCAAGACCGCGAGAGCTTTCTCGGTCCATTTGGCGCCTTCAGGCCCTGAAGGGGCTCCGATGAGGGAATGTAGACAATCCACTACACCTGATGATAGGAGGGAAGGGATGTTTGGTGGATGCATGGAGAGGTTGTGGAGAATACAAAGGGCATCAAGCTTGCGGAAGCTACTTCTGCTGTTATTGGATCGTAGAAGCTGGACGAGCAAACGGACAACCTCAGTCAAGCCATTCACAGGCTTGGCCTCATCGAGACAGGAGAGGTCAAGGTACAGGGCTATAGCTTCTTCACAGTTGTCAGAGTTTGAGATCATCTGCTCCAGCAATGGTATCACTCCTGCTGTTATGAGCATTACCTTGTTCCTGAGACAAGATGAACTTATAAGAAATGGTTACAGACAAGAAAGGGATCCACAAATGCATTTATTTCTTCTACTTTTGGAGAAAATCATTGAGTCAAACACAGAACAGATGACAAAGTCAAACACATAACAGTTGACAACGAATGAAGATGATCAGTAGCTGGATTTAAAAAAAAAAGGAAAATGAACAATTATTTTATAGGTATAATTCATGACATGATGTTATCACGATCTGGAGTAACTTGATTCTAAATGATCTAACAACAAGAAAACCGTAATATCCCATTTATAATTTCTACTAAAATATTTTTGAGCTATAAAAAAATATTTCATTTCATATCTTTCCTAACCGATTATAAACTAAATATGAAAATAAAAAGGATAATCCTATAGAAAAATCAGAAGAAAAATGCAAGTACCGGTTATTGTTGACTGCAAGGTTGACAAGAGCCATTACACCAATCTTCTGAACCTTATCATTCCTATCATGGATAGCTGATCTCAAGAACTTAACAAGTGCCTCTATAGCCCCATTTGAACCCATAAAGATCCTTGCTTCTTCGTCGTCCTTCAGCAGGTATCCTATCTGCTCTACTGCTTTCGACTGCTTCCACATACCTTTATCCTCTTCTAATGCAGCCAGTAAACCCTGATATCTCTCAAGTTCATCCTCCTCATGATCTTGGTTAGAGCACTTGTCCAAGATACCATCATGGCTATCTTTGAGCTCCTCTGCAATGCCATTGTCATCCAAACCAGCCTCCTTGATGCCCGTCCACTTGCAAGATATGGTACTGTCCAAGGATCTGGAATCCACAGTATCATACTGTGACAAAGCTAGCCTCCAATGATCAGCAGAATCTGGTGCGCCATCTGGAACAGGAACTCCATGCTGCTCACACCAAATAGCAATCAGGCCCTTAACACAATGGTTGGGAGTTAAACAGAGGTGGGAGAGATGCTGCTGAGTTTTCGGGCAGGTGACATGTCCATTACTGAACCACTTCTCAATGCAGGCACGCTCATAGGTCTGACCAGATGAGATGATGACAGGATCATACATGAGCTGCAAGGAGATGGGGCATCTGAATTCTTCTGGGGGGATGGGCACGCTTGCTGTTCTTGGGCCGCTTCGGTTGAGATTAAGAGAGCTAAGTTTGGAGAGCTGTCTGTCAAAGGCATGACACCTCCCATGTGGACCAGAGACCTTTTCAGAACATAGCACAGCGGGAGAACATGGAGCTGATCCCTGAGAGTCAAGATCCTCTGCCAACTCAGGTCTGGAAAGCTTCGAGTACTTCCTCATGAGATGATACAAGTAAGCTACAACAGCTTCCTTCCGTTTGTCTTCCTCAGCATGGACTTTTTCCATAAGCTTCTTGAGAGCTCTTTTCTCAGCAAGTGCTGCTCGGGAAGAGGTAATGCCCAGCCTTGAGGCAGCTTGATGGAATGATTCAAGTTCTTCGTTGTCATCTGAACTACCGTTGGATTTTCTGTATTTCCTAAGCAAAGTGATTACCTTGTCACCAGCCTGCTTCTCGGAGTGATCCAATATGAAATTGGTTGTCTCCAGCTCACCAACAATCTCCATAATCTAAGATGAGAGATGAAAAGCAAGATACTTCAGCAAAAAAATTCCTTAAGAGATCAGAAGAGATGATAAACCTTGAGAGATGCATTGACATAGATTGACATAATGTTACATACTGCTGTGGTTTAAGTATTTATGTTGTCATGAATGCATCTCCTAATCAACAGATCATGTTCTTTCCATCACTTAAATGTTGAAAATTTGCAGTATTATAAACAAACTCAGCAGTAGACAAAAAAAATTGAAGGAAAAAGTGGTTTCATCTTTCATTTTGGAATGTGACAGTTAAAGAACCAGTATTAGTGAACAGATTTAAGTTTTACTTCAACTTCCTTAAGATCATTTGAGAATGGAAGGAGGCTTGCCGATACTTGAAAACTAAGAGAAACCAAATAAAAATTATACAGCAATCAAGATGGGAAAAATATTACACAGTTAAAGATTAGATTGAATAAAACTATTTGAACAGAGTTACAATGCGAAGTGTCCCTGCAATCCAAATAAATCAGGATCAATTTGCCTATCTAAGAAGTGGCACTGTTTGCACTAACTAAAATGTGTCTCTGATTGATCATATTTTTAGGCACTAAACCCATGGAATTAGAAAATTGGGAAATATGTGACATGCATCAAGTGCTCAAACTGTAGTATGAATCAAGAAAACTCGGTTCAAGAACTGTTACAGGAAGTTAAAATCATTCAAAACAAGATTGTGAAGTGTCAAACATCATTGCAGCAAAGCTTCTAAATCTGGAAGTGGCACAAATGGCTAGGGAACTAGGTAAAGGTTGAATATTAACCAGATGGATATTTATCTAAGCATGCAATCAGCAATAATATGGCACAAAAACAAGATTTATGCTTCTTATAAAGACAAACAAACAAGTAAAAGGAGTGCTATGGCAATCAATAAGTGTCAATTTGCCTATCTGTAAGTAACACATAACTCTCGTGCAGCTTTGCCAGCTTGTCCATATGTATCACAACTAATGGAGAATTGTCCTGTAAACAAGTAAGTGTTTTGACCTCTAAATTTGCAGAAAACCAAAGGGTCCCTGATTAGCTTGCACTATCTTAACAACAACAGAAGCATAAGGATTCCTACAACCGGGTCGTTTTATGTAAAGCATAATAAGCATCTTAATGTGTGGAGAATGACTTTGAACCAAGTTGGAACTGAGACAGGATAGGTGTACTTAAAATAGAAAAAACAATAATATATCAAAAGAGCTTATTTGGAACTTGGAAAAAAGGATAAATACATTAAAAGAGCTTTTTCTGATAAGTACATGAAATATGGATATGCAAGATCGACAAGCACAACATAAGTGGATAAAAAAAAAGATAAAGATCAAATGCAAAGAGAAGTTCATAAAATAACCAAGTGGAAAAATTGGAAAAATGATGTGTTTTCACAAATCAGGCAAATAATTAAGAACTACTGATGATAATTCCATGTTATACCACTGACAAGCTACCTTATCAAGTATAATTTGAATAAGAACATGGATCACATGCAGTAGAAGCACAAATATCTAGTTTCATTGATGATTATGGTATAAAAAGAATGTACAAATAAATAAAGCAAACCTTATCTGTGCAATCATAATGTACTATACCTGGCATGCAATAGCTCCTGGGACTATGCCTTCAACACGTCTAAGGCTTTCTTGCAGAGCACTTTTAGACTTCTCAAACTTGTGGAGTATGGATTCCCCAGTTATAGCCTAAAAGATCAAAATTTCACATTAAATATGACAGCATTGTTAAGCACTAACTAGTATAATGAACCAGTCAACATGTCAACTGTGTGACAAAGGATAACAAGTTCTAGTTTAGTTATCCAAACAGCGACTGGCATGTGGCATTATATAGATGCATCAATGATAAAAGCTATAAACAAGTTTTGTTGTCACAAGAAAAACAAAAGCAGGAACAGAGAGGTACTTGTTTCATCCAGAATGACACAAATTGAATAGGTGACATGAAAAGAACAACTAGAGTAAATTACTTCATGAAATCCTTAAATTCATATCATTGACTCAAGTTCTCAGGTTGAAGTACAATTACCAAGAACTTTTTCACATTGGAAGTATCAACTAGCTTTTCTAATAATGCAGGGAAAGTAAATGTCAAAATGAACTATATGTACAGTTTCACAAGATAAATGCTGTATTTACATCAGAAAGCTTCCAGAACACCACTCACAAGACAGTGCAAATTCTTGTAATCATGGAAAATGACAACTTGTCAATTGAAAGAGTGTGCTCACCATGTCATTTTGTCATAGTCTCAGAAAAGATAAGAAAGGGCAAGAACGAAGGAAAAACTTCTAAAGTCTAGCCATCATCTGGTCAGTGCACCATGACATATTTGCTAAAAATTAACCTTACCAAGTATAGTTTGCTACAGTCTGAGCAATGATGTAGTAGTCCTTCGGCTTTGTCAAGAGCCACGTGCAGTGAGCAGAGCGCCTGTATTCCGGTTTTACTTCTAGGTCTAGCAGCTTCTATGAATGGGAAGATCTCCAAAACCTTACAAACAATTGTGGAAAGCATTCTGAACATTCCTCCATGCAACTGCAACAAGTTTTTATACTCATCACTCCAATAACCATTATGGATATATCTATAGGCCAACTAACACGTCAGGCATAACCCTTCCATATTCTATTGCTCAAAATATAAAAATAGAATAAAATACTTTAAAAGTTGCAAGTTCATGAACCATATGTAGAGAACTCACTCATAAATATCTTTAACAAAATTATCGAACATGGAAATTAATATTTTTACATTTGCAAATGTAGAGAAGAAAATTTTTCTTTAATATTTTAGCACGAAAAAATTCGAATTATTAAATGAGCAAAAAGTAATGCAAATTTTATCAGTTCAACTGTAGATGAAGCTTGCACGCAGGTTCGAAAAGATTATCAACATGCAACTTAGGTGACCGGAAGTCTGTTTGGTCGATTTGCAATGAATTGATAGTCATGTTCAAGTTGGAAATGATCAACCGAAGTTAAGTTGCATGGAGATCAAGATTGAAGTACACACCTTTGGATCACCAACCACCAGCATTCTCTCTACCATCTTAACTGCATTCATGATTATAACTCAAGAGTCCAAATATCTGGCATAGAAAACAAAACTCCATGAGGCACCAGGAGAATAAATGACCAAGCATGAAACAACTGACACAATGCTTTAGCAAGTAACAGAGAACTAAATACCATGCAAGAAACCCAAAAGAATGAAAAAACATATACAAAATTTGTAATTTGGTTCAGAGTTACAAAAATAAAGATTTCGTCACGTAAAACAACATAACATTCAGAGAACCAGAATCAAAAAAGGTTTTTTTAGATGGAATATCAGATCACTTGCTTACCAACCATTCCAAAAGAAGAAAAAAAGAGGCAAAAATCAAACCAACAAGTAATGCTGACGGCTAATCCAAGCAAGAAAATTAAGAAAATCTTCATCATTCAGCAAATAGAAGTAAAAAATTACTTTGTGATTTACTCCAAAAAAGCAGTTTTCCTCAAAGAAAATCCATCGGAGAAAGTGAACTACTACAAGAAAAGGAAGAACCTTACCTTTCCCCAGACTTGGACCAGTTCCTTATGCGTCCCCTGTTCTGTAACCTACCCCGAAAATCCAGCAAATCCCTCAACGGGTTTCATCAGAGAGCCCCCGGGACAGAAAGATCTCGTTCCTAAAAAGCGCAAGCATTCCGTCGCCTCAAATCCTACCACTTAGGATTCGTCGAGCAAGTGTTCTACGTTCCTGATCGTCAACCCCCAAAAGAAGGAACGAAACAGAGAACCGAAGCAACGAAGGCGATAACGAGAGAACACGATAAAGGGTTTCAAGATCTCTCTTATAGGCCTTAATAATGACTCGATTATTTACACCATTAACTTAACCACTCCCTTAATGATTTGTTAGTCGATAGCCATTGATTTATTAGCAGCGATACGATACTGACATTTATTGATATCGTGGCATATCACACGAAATTTCCAAACGTTATTTGGCTTTGTATCGTTTATGGCCGCTTTATACATCCGATTTATCGGTTTGCCGACCTCTGTCGGCTAGCAAGTTGAAAGACCCTTTTCCCTCTTTTCTCAATGCCAAAATTGGGCCGATCTAAACCCAGATATTAACAGCAAATACGTGTTGTTCTCCATTAGCAACGAGGGTATTTCAGTAACAGACTCCCATAGTGGCATTTGTGATGTTTTGTTCAACGTTGAGGGTTAATTAGATCGAGTACGGAATACGGAGGACGGATAGTTTCGTACGTCATCGTCCCTGATCATCACACGTGGTGGATCTTTCGCCGCACGTTCTTGGAGGCATGATTGCGGCGAGCGGCTTTTGTGTACGGAGGCGGACACGTGGGCGGCGGCTCAACGCGGTCGGTACTGAGGCGATGCTTTCCATCTTCAAAACATACTTTTTTCCTACGAGTTTGTTCGTACCCTTAATCTACCAGACTTGTGATTAGAAGTCACGCGGACCCCACCAGAAACATCGCCCTTATCTGCATCCTGGATGGCGGACGGGTAACGACGAAGAGGTAGGCAATCACGTTAGCGGCTGTATGGTAAAAAGCGAAAACATGAGGGGTTTTGTGGTAAATCACCTTATTATTACGGAAATAAGCGTAATTGGCAGCGTATAATAGAACGTAAGGCCCATTCCCTGCTCTGCCGACAACTAAGAGTAGAGTCTAATATATTAGGGGACATGTAGAACTGCGAAGTGTCGTCGTCTTTGAAAGAGCAAAAGCTTCCGTCAAAGATTCTCGAAATATCACATCTTATGGGGATATATGGTGGTTCGACTATAAAATTAGCCGTCTTGCTTTGTATGTTTGTGCACGGATGCATGAATCAGCTATTATTGCTTCGAATTATGGCGATTTGAAAACACTGAAGTAGGTGATCGGGATCAACTGTTTTCTCCGACGCAGGAAACGCGATCCCGACTCATAGAAGACGGACAGGACGTCGGGAGGTGACGACGTGGGGCATCATGTCTGTCGAGGAACCGTGTTTCTTGACTGAAGCGTAACATTCGATCGGCGCCAAAGAAAGGAAATCGAGATCATCTGTGTTGTTCGGAGCACGAACCTCTCTATCTGGCTGGATGGGAAGCCAGCAACGGCGGTGGGGACCAGCATGTCCGTGGACGAGGGTGTCAGGAACCGTGTTTAGTGGATGGAGCAATACAGAAGATCGGCAAGCCGACGACCATGGAGCCGACTTAGGCCACGAATCGTGCGGACAAATCATGGAATACAGATATATATATATATATCCGGTGAATTGGGACCCATCATATTATTATTAGATGAGACTGACGTTGTGGGGTACGTGTGAGAACCATGCATGGGTTTGACTCACGTCACCATCGGCATATTGCTGCAAGTGAAACCAGCTTGCGGTGGGTTGCGTAGATCGCACTGGATTCGGCGGATGCATAAATTGGTCAACGGGACTAAATGATCTTATCATATTTTATTTGATGAAGTTATCATATTTTACTTAGAAAATCTTCAATTTGATGAAGAGAGAGAAAGCATTAACAGACCTTCAAGTCACAAATCTATTATATTATATTATATTATTATATATTTAATAATATTATTATTATTATATTAAATTAGTCTTACATTTTTAGATTGAAAAAGAAGACGACTTACTTGCAACTTCGAAAATTTTGATCATATCAACAAAATGCGAAGATGGTGGACAGTTATTTTACAGTATGTGTATCACTGTTTACTACAAAACCTTTTAAATTAGACTCATACTGATTATTAGAATCATGATATAGTCAATTTTGATTATTTATCTAATACAATAAAATCGTGTCTAAAATGATAAAAAAAAATCTTTTGAAAGGATGAAATGTAAAAATTATTATTTGAATATAAAAAATACACATATCCCATATATCTTATTTCAGTCTATTTCTATAAAAAAATTATAATATTACGTCCATTAAAACATCACTAATGTTCAAGTCAATATTTGTTTATTGTGGGTGTAATAAGTAATAATTATTTTAATATTTATTTAATGAACTCAAAACAAAGATATACCTAAAGCGATTAGTTTATATAGGGTAAGTTTTGTAACCATTGATTTAATAAGAAAATATTTCTTTTATATATTATGTTGATAAAATATATCCAATAGGCTCTTCATCATTTTAAAAATTATATATGACATATATGGTAAGCACTGATTAAATTTTATATGTTAAGTATAGATTGGTCTATAATAATTATCATATCATTTGTCTCGATTATACTTAGAGATAAGAGTAGAGCATAATATTTGTTTTGAAACATTAATCATCATTACATGGATTAAAAATGATTAAATGATTCTTTAGTTACTTTCTTATTTTGTATGGCCACAAGGGGACACTTTGGTCCTCTCATAGATACTTCTTTGTTCTTAATGGATACATACCCAAAGAGAATATATTTTTAATATGATAGATGCCTTTAGATATTTTTTTATCATAGTGGGTGTATAACTTGTGATACACTGTATCTTTGTTCTAGATGGATGTATCATGTTCATTTGAATTAGATTTTTTTTTTTTTTTGTCTCGACTATATGCATCGTGCACAAAAGGAACACTATAATCATATTGGAAACTATAACTTTTTTTATTTTTTTTTTATCTTGGATAGATGTATCAAGGATGATTTGGATACTTATTTTTATCCATTAATATTCTTCACTAAGTCAAATGAAAGTCTTACGATCACAATAGACATTGAGATGCAAAGTGGTTTGCAGATGATCAAAGCCACAACCTCAAGATGAGTTAGACATTTAGAAGTTAAAAACAAAAGTGATTTAGGAATTACCTGTGCATGATCAACTTGAAGGGGTGGCCAAACTTAACGATGTGGCTAACTTGACGATGGTCATATTAAGAGGGTAATCGATTTTAAAAAATAATGATTTGATTATGCAACCAATTAGAATATACAATAATATTGATGAACTAAATTAATTATCTTGAGGTGCCACCACCTTGAGGAAGCAACTAATTTAATAATATAACCAATTTATATGATCATTTAAAAGGATATTCTTATCTTAAGGATGTGATTGACGGGGAATATGACCAACTTGAATAAGTGGTTGATTGAATCATGTAGCTGACTTAATTATAAATATTTTAAAAAAGTGATTGACACGATAAGATTGGACAATTATCGGACTAGAGTAAGTAAGAGCATGAATATTATTTAACTTTGTATAATATTTGACCTCAAACATAAATTATCTCTCCAGATAACTCCACATCATGAGATGATGAAAGCTAAAATTCATAAATAATATATGTCACTTAGTGTTCATTTTTTTCTTTATAGGCTCGAGGGCTTTGACTATTATATATCTCTTTGTCCTTAGGGATAATTCAAAAAATATCACAGAGGATTTCTTAGCTATGGACTAAAGGAAGTTGAGTTTAAACTCTTTTTTTAACTCTGTAAAGGATATCTATAATCTAAAGGTTTTACCAAGCATGGTTGTTGAACCCTTAAAACTTAAGTATTAAAAAATCTCTCCATTTGAAAAGATATTTATCAAATTATTGTTATATCTAGAATTGATTTGAGAAATTTGGTGGGATCCGATAAAAATATCCTTTTGTGCATGGTTAACCAATTTTTCATCCAAGTTTAATTAAAAAAATTATGATATTCATTTATCAAGGGAGACTAATGATGATCGGTGGGTATGGAGCTTATACTCTTCTCAGTTTGTTATTTTTAAAAATATTTATAAATATCTAATAGAAGAATAAAATAATTTAAAAATAAGTATTGAAAAGTTTAAAAAGTTGTTTGGAGTCTAAATATTCATTCAAAAGTTAAAAATTATTATAGATCTATTTATCTAATCTGTTTGATTATATGGTTTCTTGCATTGTTACGTGGATAAAGGAGGAGAAGACTCTTTTAATTATATTTTTTTCTAATCATTTCCTAAAAGATTTTTGAGATATGATATAATTAAATTTAAAATTTTCTTTTGACTAGATGCATGAATAATAAAATGACAATAAGCTAAAAGAAGAAATTCATGTAAATAATCAATTATCTAAATCTATTGTATCCATGTAGTAGTATCTTTGTTAGACAAAATACTCACTTTGCCACTAACCCTTTGTGCTGAATGTTGGGCAACATGAGATGGACTATAAAAAGCAATGAAGCAAAAGTATTATAATTTTTTAATCAAATTTGATGTAGAAAATTCAAATACTTAATCATAACAAGCCAAGACATTTGTTTTTAACTAATATTTATAATGATATTTTCATGCTTGTAATCTAAATGTAAAAAATTAGGTTCATATCAATTGATAATCTAATATTTAAGCTTATACTTTTACAAATACTGTAAAAACTTACTATATCCCTTTTCACTCGCAGAATAGTAATATAATCTATGGAGATATTGATAATCCCGATTAATAATAATAATAATTATTTTAAAATATAAAAATATATGAGACTATAACATTCTTGTATTAGAAAAATATTGACAGATGAAGATATTAACGATAGTTTAAAGAGTCATATTCTATGAAGACGATCATCGTCAAAAATCTCTAAGTTGAAGAGATATAAGTTAGAGGGAATAAATTTTTAATTATATTTGTTAAGTAAAAAGAGATTGATTTTGGAGATTCACTTACACTGAACCTTTTCCTTGGTTGAGTCTAACATATAATTTCATTAGTGATGATATAAGAAAATAAAAGTGTTAATAATATAAAATAGAATGTCACAAATATATATAATGATAATTATAAAAAAAAATCTTATGCTTATTTTCAATTATGGTTTATCGATATACGTAATCGTACTCTTATGGAATGATTTATTTTAGTACATTAATTAAGTAAATATGTAAATCAAAATAAAAAAAATATATCCTTTATTATCAGACATACAATGATTATTTTAACTCTTTAAAATAACATATATTAGATCATTCCTTTATCATAAAAAAAATAATACAACGTTAACCAAAGAAAGATACGTACAACAATACAAAGAATATATGCAAAAGTCCATCAGATGACTGTCATGATCATAATCGAATGAAATAAATCGAACCACCACCGCACGATCAATGAAATTACATTAAGAGTACAAAAATAAATCCATTAATGAAATTGGCATAATCTCCATTATGATTCTACGAGAGATTTATTAGTAGCATTATTGTTATTAGGCAAGTATAATTAATTGGGCTCATAGAGGCCCAATTATTGGATGGGCTGAAGCAGTAGTGTGGCCCGAGAAATATGGTATAACTCCCAGCTCAAATCGAACCGCACTATTCGTGAGTACATCCGCGTCGGTCGTTTCGTCTCAAATAGCCTCTCGCAATCCCTAATTCCCACCATCACCTCCCGGCCTTCTTCTCTCTCTCTCTCTCTCTCTCTCTTGTTGATGGACTCGTTTCAAGGTCGCCACTTCACCGGAGGAGGAGGTGGCGGAGATCCCTATCAACAGCATCAGCCGCCGCAACAGAACCCCTTCCCTAATCCCTACCATCATCCACCCCAACCCACCACTAATTATTCCTACCCTCCTCCTCCCCCTCACCACCATCCACACCACTATCCATCTCCGCCTCCTCCCCCTCCTACGATTCCCTCTCAGCATCAGCAGCAGCAGCAGCAGCAGCAATGGGTTCACCCGGAGAGCCACCTTCAGCACCACCACCCCCCTCTTCCGCCTCTTCCCCCACCTTACCCCCAACCCATGCCAACGTACGCCGTGCAGTCGACGCCGCCGTTCCACAACCAGTACCATCCTCATCCCCCTCTTCCCGCGCCTCACCACGTGCCGCTGCCGCCTCACCAGCATCGCCTTCCGTCCCCGCCGCCTCCCTCCACAGCTTATCCTCCACCACCTCAGCAGGTGAGCCTCTTCTGTCCTCTCGTCATCGTAAGTTGTGGTTTTTATTTAATACTATCATCAATCGGACGATTGTTTCATTAGGAAACTTGTAGAACACCTAGGTCTTCTTTTGTTGGAAGGGTTTTTGCTTTTAGAACAGCTTTAGCATGTGGGGTATGGTTGGATGTGCTACTAGCAAGGCTACCGGTGATGGTGGTTGTTAGCCGGGCTGTGGCTACTTGTATAGTGTTGTATTTGTATCTAAACAACTGTGATTTGATGTCTCTGCTGAGACATCCGAGTTGGTTAGTGTGTCGTTGCACAAAGGGATAGGTATCAGGTTCGAGTTCATGTGTGAGCGTTATGTCATTTGATGTAATAGAAAAACTATGATTCGATGACTTCATTGATATCCTTTTCTTATTGGGACTCCTGGTTGATAGAAGAACAGATGATTGATAAGATTAAAACTATCTTTCGAATCAGTCTATTCTAATATACACTCAAGATGATCCATGTATTAGAAGAATAGCCTGATGGGGCTGGCTACACACATGCCATTTTTCTTTGTTCTGGTTTTCTGACATTTCTCTGCAATTACTTTTTGCAGCAATGGACAGGCCCATCTTGGGCTCAACATCAAGGATGGGAATACCCAGGTCAGGCTTAATGTTCAAGCATTCTGCGGAATTGAAGCCATACTTGGATCATTTGACATTTACATCCACAAGAAGAGTTCATTATCATAATAATATTCTTTTAGCATGTAGATATGTGGTAGCACTATGTCGGGAAAAATCATTCATGTTATGGGTTTTTGAATCAACACATGTCATTCTTCTTTCTGTGTACGAGTTTATTACCAGGATTGATCAGTTGTCACATTAGCTTAATTTGATATCTCAATTTGCTAACTACTCGTCATTGTTTCATTGTGTTTCTCTCTTGCTGAACTCGTACTGGCTAGGATCTCAATATCAATTAGTTTTAATTTATCCAGTCTGATAGAGGCTGGCGAACCTTTTACAGTATTGTGTTTGGCATGCTGTTCTTCACTTTTTACCATGTATCTTGTTTTACTTGACCAAAGAACAATTCCCTTGTGTTCAACTCCAGTATACTCTACCCATCCAAATTGCATATAATGAGCTAATTAGATGTTGAAATGCATCTGTCATTTTCCCAAATTGATGCTTCCCCAGACTCTTTAGATGGAGGTGTTGTTTATTGGGGATGATAATATTTTACATCACTAATTTTATTTGATTTGCCTTGTTAGTATAGTAGCACAAGCCATTCATCTACACAAGTTGTTTACCTGGAAATGAATTCTGTGATCCCAATACATGAAGGATAAAGATTATCATTTGATGCCCTTTATGTGTAACAAAAGTTTCTTATTATTTATGAGAAACCATGAGTGATTAAAATATATGCAAAGATATTATTTCTTAGAAATGTAAGTTTATTCAAGTAAAATTATTTCTATCTGTTAGTTTGGCAAAGAAGCAGGGTCGTTCTCTGCCAAACACCATCTTGAATAGCTAAGTTACTTGGTTGGGCTTAGGTTTAGGCTCTTTTTCACGTAGAGTTGATCAACTTGGATCTATATGGATATAACTATTTCTCTTCTGTCTTCCTGTTTTGCTACATATCACATGCAATTTTTGTTGATGGAAGTCTTTTCTCTTGGGCAGAAAGTCAAAAAAAAAAAAATCAAGACATTCCATTCATAATGAATTCTTGTCTTCATTTTCTTTTTAAACCTTTTTCTTTCTTGAGAAATAATCACGAACCAGCACTACACTGACCTTCTAACTCGCCGGGGAATTATGAATAATGGAAACTTCTAAACTTTTTATGCTTCTCATAATTGTTAAACACATCATTCTCATTTTGTTTGTCCTTCTATATATGCTACAAGTAAAAGAACTGCAGGGTGTTACTGCTTGGTGTCCATTGTTAACATGTTCGATAATATGTTATACTGCAAATGAGTGGAGCCATACAAATTACCTTGATCTTGATCTATTAATATTTATGTGATTCTGTATTTTTTTTTTCTCTTAAAAACCAAATGTTTAGTCATTTAGGTATTCTGTGGCTTGTATGCTGGTTTGTTATTCCTTCAATTTGTCGACAGAAAGAAACCTTTCATACAACACAGAGGATGACTGGGCTACACGGGCTAAAGCATGGGCTGCTGCCAAGTCAGTGACAGATAATCATCAAGTGCATTCACAGGTTATGCCTGTTGGAAGAATGGAAGAGCATAGTTACACCTATCATGATCAAATACACAATGCAACTGGTCCTCCTTTAGATGCTCAACAATCTTCACTTTCTCAGTCAATTAACCAACAGCTGCCCAACTATGCCTTGGATCAACAGAAACAAGTTAATCATTCGCATGGATATGCATCATTCCCTGCTCCATATGTAGCAGACTCACATATGCATTATAATGCTGGAGAAGAAGCTGTTGCGCCACACAAAGATCATAATTCGCCTGCAAGAAATTTTGGATCAACTTCATCCATTTATGAGAAGGAGGTACCTTATAGTTATTCTTCTGTTCCAGGTAAAGTTTCACTTAGTATTTCTATTTGGCTGTGAATGAAGTACCAAGTTTTGGTACCATCATAAATGGAAATGGCCTTTTTCCTGTTAATGATCTCAGAAAAAATTCTTTGTAGTTTAGCTAAAATGTTTTTATTTGCACTTTATAAGATAGTTGAGCTGTTATCTTTATGAAAATTTTAGTCACATTTTTGTATCAGTTGTCAGATTGAGACAGTTCTCTGAAAGCAATCAGTTTTAGTTTAACTAACAAATTATTCATAGTTGTCAATGATATGTGGTAAATGTTATCAGTGTGACGTAAACACCAATGTGCATATATGTAGTTCTGTCATTTCCTCTTTGATTATAAGAAAATAGATCATATTTTCTTTTTCACAACCTTTTTTTTCTTCTTTCGCTTAACAACTAGTGGACTTCAATTTATTGATTATCTTGAAAATCTATTCTAAGGCATCTTACTGTTAAATAATCATATTGCTGGAATTAGGTATTAAAACTTTATTACTACTTGGTCATAAATTGTGTAGTACTTTTTTTATTGATCCCAACTTTAAGCAAAGAGGTGTGTTTTTTTAATTAAATCTCCTTATGTGATTTTCAGAAAGGTCATGTGCAGGTACTTAGATATGTTCTGGCCCGCTCTGTTTATATTACACTTGTTAATATAAATGAAGCATGTGCAATTTTGAAACGGTCGCTATATCGTCACCAACTTAAAAGCCTGATATGATACACTAGATATCACCTTTACCTGGCTGCCGCATGTACAATTAGTAGATGGATTGAGGGATTTTAGTTGGTCTTGGAATTGTTGGCAACTATATTCAAACTCTTTATTCAGTTAAAATTAACTTGCCCTTATGGTGGAAGGTGCATTGATGTGGATAAATTTTCTGAAGTAGATTGATGATATAGAGTGTAATCACATCTTATGAGATTCATTTTGAAACTAAATTAATCTAGGAATAGTACTTGATGGAGGAGTCAACGAAGAGAACTTTTGGTGCACAAACTCGTAGTGGATCTCGTCTTGACATCCTTGTTACTGAAAATTTTATCTTCTGGAGTACTTAAGGACTATATGAAGTGAACATGAAGTCAAAATTCCTGAACAATAAATTCCATGCGCCTTACATATTATGTCACTGATAGATGAGGTGGAAATGAAGAGAGATGAGAGGTAGTTTAAGTTTTAGGTATCCCTTTTTCTATATTGACCAACATTGTGGTGATCATTTATGATTTCCAAAGTAGTGCTCAGTTAAGGCTGGTATCAGATGGACATATTACTTGTTTCATTTCAGTTCGTAAATGTGATTAAGCTGTATGTTTCTGTTTCTTTTGTATCTTTTTTCATTATTTTTCTTCCATCTTTGAAATGAAAAATTTTATAGCATTTGTATCTTGGAATGTTATTGAAAACCAAATTGCTGGTCAAGAAAGGTTCTCTCCATGCAATCCTGTGTGTTTCCTGTGTGGAATATTCCTCTAGTTCATAGTTAAGATGGCACAATAGATATAGCGGAAGGTGCATTTCAGGATTTATTTTAGAGAATGTTGGGTTAGGAGATGATGTTAAACCCTTTGTTTAATTCAAGACATGTAACTCTTTAAGAGTATGTGACCACTTGTACAAGAAAAAGTGTAGCTACCTGCAACCTACTGAGGGCTATTTCTTTTCAAAATACAAATGTTGGAGGATGTTAAGGATTCAAGTGCTGCTAGCTAAACTGTGTTGAATAGTGGTTGGTATAGTACATGTTGTTGGATGAACTGTATCTGGTTCCTTATTGACACAAAGATTATTTGTATCATTGGTTCAAAAAAACAGAGAGAGAATATGATATAATATAATATAATATAATTATATTCAAAATAATTGTAAAAAATCTTTTTAAAATATATTATTATGGTTTAAAGTTTAAACTATTAGATGAAGTGGCTAAGGTGATTTGGTTTGCCTATAAAAAAATAATCACTTAAAATTGTAGAACCAGCACTTTTGTGGAGATGTTGTCTTGTGGATTAATCAATAAATGCCATGCCCATAACTTACCTGTTGCTCATCACTTGCATGATGTCTTTTTTTTACTCACAATGGTACCGTTGGTGTTTGAGGCATATCTATAGCTTAGCAGTATAGAGGAGGTGAGTTATGGCTGCAAATAGGCAATGACAAGAGGGCAACAGCAAGATAAGTCTCCTCTTTTGCCGGCTACTGCAAATAGCAGCTATTGCTCTTCCCTGATAAGAACTAATGTTTACTTAATGGAATGATCTCAATTAGTTTTGATTGATTTTGACCATTTCTTTATAGATTCCATCATATTTCAACTGATTCCAAACATTTCTAAAGGTGATTTGGTAACTAGACCATGAAACTGGGATTTCCCAACTCAAGAAGGGTGAATCCTGATCTAGATGCTTCAGCTGTCAAATTCTTTTTCTTTCTGCTTTCTTCTGGTGGATGACCGACCAATATCACATAATAGTATGAACATATACTTATCTTCCCTACATGATCTGCATATTTTCATGGTGGGATCATCTTGCACTGTCTTGTTCTTTTTCAGTAACAGCATTGTCACTAGTGTTTTGAAAAGTACCCGGCACTAAAAGGCTCCAAGGTGCCAAAATGTATGAGACACTAGGTGGTTGCAAATATTAAAATTAATATATGTAAATAATGAGAAGAGGGAGGAGGAGGAATTTGGTAGGAGGAAAAAGGAGGCTATTGGGATTTGAGGAGGCTTGGCTGCTATCGGTTGGGAGGGAGCTATCAAGGAGTAGGAGGATGAGGGTGGTGGAGGTGGAGGGAGCGACAACGAAGGAGGAGAAAGAGTGAGGGGACAATGAGAAGGAAGGAGAGGGGAAAGAAACAAAAAGAACGAGAAGAGGGAGGAAGAGGAATTAGGTAGAAGGGGAACAAAGGGGAGGAAGAAGGGAGAAGGGAAGTTGTGAAGGGAGTTATCAGGGGAGGAGGAGAAGGAAGAATTGGGAGGGAAGGGAGGAGATAGTAAGGAGGATTAAGAGGGAGGGGACCGGACAACAAGAGGGAAGGAGATGGGCAAGCAACATAGAGCGGAAGAGGGAGGAGGAATTAGGTAGGAGGGAGAGGTGGATTGTTGGGGTTCGAGGAGGAGGGGAACGAGAAAAAGGGAGAACATGAGATGGTAGTTACCGCAAGAAGAAGACATTGTTAGAGGGTCCCTGTGTGTGAGGAAGCCACTCAGTCATTGGAGGGTTGCCTTTGCCGCGAGAGGAAGCTATCTGTTATGGCTAATGGTCACTAATTGGCCTTGGAGTGCAATTGCGGTGGTGCATAGGGTGGAGGAAAGCCATGTTCGACGATGTATGGCGGAGGAAGAGAGCTGATAGTGTATAGTAGAGGAACAAATGGCAATGTAGGGTTTCTCTCTTCCGCTTGTAGATGGGGATCGGGGCACGAGGGGTGGTGTGGTGGAGTGCGAGACTTTAATTAGATCTATCAAACCAACTCACATCAACAAAAGTCAAGCGAGTGAAACCTGAATGAAGGCTTCAATTGGCTCAGGTGTGTGCTTGAGTCATGCCTGTTTAAATTGCCTTGCATGAACCATCTTCAAGGCGTTCGGGCCACGCCTCGCTTCGCTTGGTTGCCTAAGCAAGCGGCCAAGTGCCATTTGAAAACACTAGTTATCTTTTCCTCTTCACAGGCTTGGTCATAGTTTTCTTTTGTTGGTTTTATTCCAACTTGACCTTTCCTTTTACTCTTCTCCGCCTTGTCACATTTTTTTTTCTGTGACTGTGAAATTGTCTAGAATTGAGAAAATTGGGCAAGATAGGTTTAGTTTGTTGCATTCTAGCTTGTTTTTACCAATTTTTTGCTATAATACTAAGAAATGAACTAAAATATGAGCAACATTTGATGATATTAATATGTTTTGATCAGTGATTTAAAAAGCGCTAGGCGCCAAAAGGCGCCAAGGTCCAAAAACGCTCGAGGCGCTAGGCGCTCACCCGAGCGAAGCGAGGCACTAAAATATAAAAATATATAATATAATTAATAAATATAATTATTTAAAATTTTAAATAAAAATATGCTATTTTAAATAAAAATTCTAGTCGCGAGCAGAGGGAAGGCTCGCGGGAGTCGCGAGCAGTGGGAGGGCTCGTGGGAGGCGCGAGCAGAGGGAAGGCTCGCGGGAGGCGCGAGCAGCGGGAGGGCTCGCGGGAGTCGCGAGCAGCGGGAGGGCTCGCGGGAGGCGTGAGCAGCTGGAGGGCTCGCGGGAGGCGTGAGCAGCTGGAGGGCTCGCGGGAGGCGCGAGCAGCGGCAACGGGAGCAGGAGCGACGAGCAGCGAGATCGGGAGCGGCAGCGGGTTAGGGTTGGGTAAGGGTTATATCGGTTTAGTTGGTTCGATTGAACCAATTAACAACCGAACCAGACCTAAAATCCTGGTTCGGTCACTTGGTTTACTTAGGCGCTCGCCCGAAGCGCCCAGCGCCTGGGCTCGGGCGAGCACCCAGGCGGCGCCTGTTTGAAGCGCGTCGCCTGGGACATTAGCGAGGCGCTCGGGCCTCGCCTCGCCTCGCCCGAGCGCCTAGGCGAGCGCCCGAGCGCCTCTTTCAATCATTGGTTTTGATCATAGTTAAAATTGCATGATATTGTGAATTGTATGGTAAACATAGGAACTTGTGAGTACCCATAGAAATTGATAAGCAGAGACTCGCAAATGGGGTACGATTACCAATTGGTATAAAAGTTTGAATGAACACATATGGTTTCTTATCTTCATGTTTATTTAATTGTGTTGGAAGATGATATATGATGTCAACTGTTCTTTTATTGTTTGAAGCACATATAAAAGGGGGAGCGGATTGAAAGTCATACAATTGGGTCGAAGTATTGACATGAGTGCGAATAAGTTAGATGTGCACAAAACAGTGATTTAAAAAGCGTTAGGTGTCAAAAGACGCTAAGGTCCCAAAACGCTCGAGGCGCTTGCCCGAGCAAAACGAGGTGTTCTAAAATATTAAAATATAAAATATATATAATATAATTAATAAATATAATTATTTAAATAAAAAATGATATTAAATTAAAAACAAAGATTAGCAATGTTAAAATCTAAATAGTATATTATTAATCCAATAAATAAATATTATTTTGAATAATAATTAATAATCTACTATTAATAATATATTTACTGTTAACAGTAGTAGGGAAGAGTAGAGACCGGAGAAGTCGCGATAAGAAGCTGAGTCGCAGGCAGCAAATAGCAGCGGAAGCTGCGGAGTTGTGGTTAGCAAGAGGTAGCGGAGAACAACAGGCAGTGAACAGCGGCAACAGACAGTAGTGGAAGCTGAGGAGACTCAGTCGGTGACAGAGGAAGACTTGGAGGTAGCGGGGGAAATCGTCGGCGATGAACGTAGAGGGAGAAATCATCGGTGGCGGAAACGAAGAGAGAAGCGTGCGTAGGGTTGGGAGTCGGGGTCGCACGCTAATAAAACTGTGTGTTTTAGTTGGTTCAATCGAACCAACTAATGCAAATTTAAGCGGTTTGATCGCCTTATATCAATCGGGCGCTCGCTCGAAGTGCCTGGGCTCAGGCGAGTGCTCAGGCGACGCCTCATTAAAGCACGTCACGTGACCCTTAAATGAGGCGCTCGGGCCTTGCCTAAGCGCCTACGTGAGCGCCCGAGTGTCTTTTTAAATCATTGGCACAAAGTGTTCAATGCTTTTCTTTAATTGTTCAATGTTCGTTGGCATTCATTTCATATCATTCTCGATCAATAAGACTTTAGTGAATTTGGAAAGTTTATGCAAGTGCCAACATATGGCAGATGATTCATCACTGAGAGTTTCTCCTGTGAACTCAAGTTTTCCATCTTTTATTGGGTTAGTTTTGGATGGGTTTTCTTTCATTTTCTGGTGTTGGGGGTGGTATAGTGGGTTAGCATTGTGACAATCATGAGTGATTGTGGATCTGATTTCATTGCTAATCTGCTATTTCTTTTTCTTTTGTTGATAATTTGATACGAGAAGAGGCTTTGAAAAGGCTTCCACTACGAAGTATTTAATGTGATGCAGAACATGAAAATTGTTGGAGATTTAAGTCTGAAAAAAGAACCTAACAACTATGACATCCCAAGTTTGTGAATTTTGATTCAATAAGGCTAGAGGACTTTCTCTTTCAGATCACTTATCCACGATTTAAGAGGTCATATGAATCAGATTGTGAATTTGTTAATCTTTATTTCACCATCTGTATATGTTAGGAATATGTGGTCACTTTAAGAATACAAAAACCTATAGTTATGATGGGAGTGGTCCCTGTGCTGGCATTACACCTGGTGTCAGAAGATGTGATGCATTTCTATGCTTCTAATGCTTGTTGAATTTACTGCAAATGACTTTTCATTATAAAAGCAGGTAACAGAGATGCTGTAAATCAATTCCCTTTGCCTGTATTATCTGCACAAGAAGGGTTCATCCATCCACAGGCAGCACTAACTGATGCCAGCAACAAACCTCTGGATTTTGAGCCTAGGCCTGCTTCTGAATTTGAACCACATACAAAAGTTAGTTATGGTCCTGCTGATCCAACTCAGACTATGGGGTTGATGGATCGTGATGCAACTGCCATGTCTGTGAATGCTTGGACTCCAACTGTTCCAGGGGTTTTCCCCCAAGTTTCTTTAGCACAATCTGTGACACAGGTTGCAAATATTGGCTTCATCAAATTTTTTGTCTCTTGTATATTCAAATTTCTGACATTAATATGCTGTTCCTCTTTACAGTTGGAACCTCCTTTTGCTCCACAGCCTTCTTTGGGGCCACATCCTTCGCCAGTTTATGGAAGGCTACCTGGACCCAACTTCAGGCCTGGTGTACCACCTACCACTGCACCTTTTGGCTTAGTCACTGGGACATCACTTAATCAAGCACCAATGTTCCCTGCAGATGCTAGTGGTCCTTTCAATATTTCTGAACGCCCAAAAAAGGTAACTTAAGTTATTTCCTCTAATTTCTTTATCCTCATTTAACAATCATCAACATTCATGATTCTGAAACTCCAGGCTGCAGTACCTAATTGGCTTCGAGAAGAAATTATAAAGAATAAATCTGTGATCGCAAGTACCTATGCCAGCCACCAAAGTGGGAGTTCTCACAATTCCATGGGATCTGAAGATGATGATAAATCATATAGGAAGGCTGATCAGGCTGACAAGAGTGTTGATTCAGCCAAATCAACTGATGATGATGAAGATGATGAGGTATTTCCTTGTATGATTACATTCAAGTTATTCTTAAGCTTAATTGCATGCCTTCTCATGACAAACTTCCTTATTTGCTTGGTTAATTATAAATTGTGTTTGCTATCCAATTATATGAACCAAATTTATGTGCTCAATGCCCTTCGGTATAGTGCCTTCCAATGACTATGCCACTGGTGCCTCTCTATGGACCAGGTGACTGATTTTGCAGTAATAGTTGCCACCATTGACTATGCCACTGGTGCCCCTATGTGGATTGCGTGACTGCCTTTGCAGGAATAGTGTTTACTAATGACTATGCTACTGGTGCCTCTATATGGACCATGTGACTGCTTTTGCAGTTGTACTGTGATATCTATGTGCAATACCTTGTTAGTTTCATATCGAAAAATAATGAGGTTGGGCTTGCATACCTCTACTTAGTAATGTATATCTAATTAGTAGGAGAGTGTATTTCATTTACTTTGTTTCCCAGTTTGTTGCTTTGATTGTTTAAAATAGTTTAGAACACTTCTCTAGTTTGTGTCAGTTCCATATTAACTTGAAGGACCCTGGGCTCTATGCAGTGCCCTAAAAAGAATGTTGGAGATTTTTGAGTGTAGAAGATTGTGATGCTTCAATACTTCAATATTATAAAATAGGAGGAAGATAGACTCCTTTCTAACTTTCTTTCTTTTGAGTGCCTCATTCTATCTTGTTGGGATTTGAGATTGATAGGATTGGTAGGTTTGTAACCAAGTGGAAAAAGTAATTTAAAGATTACAAATATGAAATTACATTAGAATAGTAAAACAATAAAAATATGTTCACACATAAAAATATTGTGTTAAATTTTTTGTTTATATTCAAATATCACAATATATCTATCCAAGGAATGCAATTTCAGGTACCAGACCTGTGCCAGTCCATGGCCGGACTGATCCTCTTCTGTCCGTTTGTAATGCTATCTTTTTTCTGTAGTGTCTTTTGTGGTCTTAGGTATAGCAAGTTATTGAGGTTTCCAACATTCTATCTTAATGATGCTTTAACAAGTACTTCTAGCTTTGCACATCTAGTTTCTCATCTCTGTTTCCCATTCATTGCTTAAATTGCTTATTCCACAATCAGAATATGATGCATTCAAGAAGCTTCTTGTTCTTGTGACCAATATACCTCCATGTTCTATGTAGGACGATGCTCAAGCTGCCAGATCTGCAGCAATAAACCAGGAAATAAAGCGTGTGCTAACTGAAGTTTTGTTGAAGGTTCTGTTTGCCTAATGGTTTGCACACTGGACTTCCTTTATTTCTTGGTTTACTTTATTTGATGCTTCTCCATTTTGAATCAACAGGTCACAGATGAGCTTTTTGATGAAATTGCGACCAAAGTTCTTAATGAAGATGACCCGACTGCTGAGGGTAAAGAATCTTGTTTCTAAAAACTTCAAATTCCACAAATTTCTATTTGATGGTTAAGCTAGTTTTTGATGCTCCATAGTTTGTTACATCTTTCTTCTGCAGTAGGTGAGAACAATGAACTTGGAAACAATAAGATCCCTATTCCAATAGTTTCAGAACCCAAGGCTTCTGCGAAGGTATTGACAACAATTAAAGAAAACCAAGAAAATAAAGGTGTTAATGAAAGTACTAGCCTGCACTCTCCTGGTGGTGATATACTTGGTCTTGCGAGTTACGCTTCAGATGAAGAAGATGATGCTGATGGACCTCAAATATCCAAACCTTCATTGGTTCAGAGTAGTAATGGTAGGTCTTCTGGAAATGAACCAAAAAATGTTGAAAACGAGATTATACTGAATGACAGGGGGGAACCTGTTAGAGGTTCACATGATGGTAACGGTGACAGAGTAAACAAACATGCTTCACAAAAATCCAATGCAAGAAATCATGTTGAGAGTTCTCTGTCCCTGGATGCTTCAATACCTGATGGTAAATTGCATAATCATGCAAGGGAACATAAAAGTTTATCTGGCATTAGTTCACATGATGTAGCTGCCAAGTGTGGGCTGGCATCTGAATTTTCTTCAGATGATCCCAATTCTCCGGAGTCCAAAGCTAAAACAATTGGCAAGGGAGGAGTGAGAATAGAATATATATGTGGCAACAATAAAGATGGAGAATCAGTCGGTAACGAGAATCTCATCAGAGACTCCAAAATTGTTACCAGTAGTAATAACCATCCAGAAGGCAGGAGCCACAACAAAGAATCAGTTAAGAAGGGATCAACCGGCACGGATAAGACAGACAGAAAAACTTCTGATTCTACTGATACTGGTAATCGTGAAAATAAAATTAAACTCAAGGAAAATATTAATTTAAAGGAGATATCTCAGGAGAGGGGTATCACACGAGGAGTAAATGCTAGGGACAATAGAATGGGGAGCTTAAAAGATAAGAAGGAAAGAGACAAAGAGGATACTGAAGGGAGAAAGGAGAAAGCAAGGGATGAAAAGGAAGGCAATTCCAGACGGCTTACGAAGGATCTAAGGCATAACAGTAGAAGGTCACCATCCCCTAACCATAGAGGTAGAAATAGCAAGGAAAATTCATTGCATGGTCATGGCAGTATTTCAAGTGATGAGCCTTCTGAAATCTCAAAAAAGAGGTATATCTATACCTTTATTTAGTGAAAATATATTGCTCTTATTATGTTTATCTTGATTTTTTTTTCTGTGTTTTAGGAGGCTGCAGTCTCGGTCACCATCACCTACAAGGTCTAGGACCAGGTATTGTAGAATAATATTGAGGATAATCTTTCTGCATAAGTTAATAATGAGGATGGACTATGTATTTCATCAAGAGGTTGGAACATAATTATTTTCAACTGCTCTTCATTCTTGGATGTGGCAAGGCATGCATTATGGTGTTAACATCTAAATCTCATGTTAGATGTCTATTTTGCATTTAGTCTCATTAAGCTGGTAAGCCATTACTAAAAGAAGGGTCTAGGGTTATATTTGTCAATCTTTGGACCTGATGTGGTTATGGCTATTGTGTTTAGAGGACTTGCATGCAGATTTGATGGGTGCAGAGATTCCGGGATAGCCAGAGGGATGAAGGACCCTCATGAAAGGACTGGAAAGTAAATACACATTCAATTAGCGTATCATGTTTTCTAGTTGTAGGCATTATAGTTTCAGGTGTATCATTCATTGTCTTAAGAACCAAGGGCAGAAAATAGTTTTTCACTGCACGTGTTTCTGAAAAAAGAGATCTTCTATAGAAGTCTTGCGCTTTTCTATTGTTAATGTAGTCTATATACTGCTATTAATTCATTGCTGTGCTTTTTGGTGGGGTGGTATTTCTGACATGTCCGATATGACCCGTGTAAATACTATTTGACTGTAAGCATCATCCTTTGGTTCCAATACTTGCTCTCTTAGTTCGGCATGTATTTGCAAGGATTTGTTTTGCTTATTGCCCAACATTGATGTCAGTTTGGGAGCCAATCCGAAACATTAGATTCTTAAAATAAAACTCATTTTTAACTTGGTTAAGGTGGTAAAGAAATCATCACAGAATATTTATGGACCTCAATCCGGGATCCTGCTACTTTATCTGTTAGTATTTATGTGACATCATGATAAACAACATTTTTCACACAGCCATCATTTTTCAGTTGTTCCATGGAAAATGTATTGCTGAAAGCACGATCTGAAATTGCAATCTAGAACATCACCTGCAATGTGTTGCATTCTTTTGATATTTGTTCATCACATCATCTTATACTTGTATTTTGTCATTAGCATGCTTTCAATATTACTTTTAGAGCTCTAACAAATGTTTTATCTATAAATTATGGATGAAATAATTGAAATTTCAAATAACATACTTGAAAACAAGCCACTTTCGAATGCTTCCTTTAGCAGCACTTTCAAATGGTTGATGATTGTCGGATATAGCATGCTGGCTAAACGTTAGGTCATGGCGATCTTTATGTTGTGTTTTGTTTTTCCACACTGATCTATTTAAAGAATACTTTTTAGAGGATAAGATAATTTGTGTAGCTTGCAGGTTGGTTTCAGGGAGTAAATCATTCAGAAACAGTACTTGTTTCTTATGCTTTTACTTACCAAATTAGTATCTATGTTTCAATTTCTAGACAAGTTTCGCGGTCTCCACATAGGAAGCACTCTCATCGCAGGCATTCTCCCTATTCTTCTGAAAGGAGGTAAGTGGTGAAACTTCTTTTTTTTCTGAGGTTAACATTGTGTTGCACCTAAAAACAATTTACACTCCAGGTGAAGGTGAAAAGTATATTTTGGATCCACTTTTCACCGAATTGGTCTTCTTTAGGTTTCATCCGTTGCTTATATTGACTCTGCAATTTCTTTTTTTTCTTTTCTGTCGCAGGAGGTCAAGATCTACCACGCCAGTTCATCGAAGGAGATAAGCATGGCAGTTTAGTGCTGGAGCATACGAGACGTCCAAATATGGTGCTGATGAAGTATGAACGTCCAATCAGATGGGTGTTGTTGGCAGAAAAAGAGGATGTACCACTACTGCTAGCTTGGATGTGCCATATCTTGTTGAAAGCATCTGAATCCGCGGCAAGCACACCTCAGAAAGGAGATGCAGTTTACTCATTCTGATGTGTCTGAGATTTTGTTGGCAGACATGGTTTTCTGTGTATGCTTGTCAGTTTTGAATGTCCGATATGGTAGCAGTGATAGTTGACCACATTGGTGTAGAAACAAAATTGCCAAGCTTGTTATGTGATTGCCTTGTTTTCTGCTAAATCAACCTGAATAGATTTGGACTTGTGATCGCCAATCATTTTTTGTCGGTCGCTCAACGCACATTGCTCTGTTACTCGAAGGGAGTGAACTTTCCAGCAAACACTGGTAGTCTGGTTGTCTGCAGCTCTATTTGATCCATGTAAGCAGACTGTGTGCTCATCCTGTGTGCTCTATTTTCTCATCCTGTGTGCTCTTCTATTTCCTCAAAGTGTGTTGTCGTTCTAATTTTATCAGATGTCTCCGAAGAGACTCATAAAGTGTGTTGTCGGGAGTTCTGTGAGTCATGTAGAAATGAAGATTCTGGGAAGGGAGGCAATTAAGAGAGAGAGAGAGAGAGAAGAAAACAGTGAGAATAAATGAGTAACGGAAAAAAATAGAGGTCGAGGTTGGGGGCTTACTTTGGGAGGAGAGGACCAAGAAACAGAGGAGAAAGAGAGGACAAAGGACAATGGTGTCACAAAGGTGTTAGACAGTGGATTCTATCTCTTATTTATTTATGATTGTACAGCATATCTTCTCCTCCATTATTCAATTCGTGATTGATGAAAAAAACAAAAAAAGAAATCAAATTGTTCGACACTAAAGCTTATTTGGCAGCAATTACCCCCTCTCCCTCTCGGTTGGTTATCCAAAATTCATCATTGTCGGATCTCCACTTATCCTGCTTGTCATTTATTCACTGCCTCCATCCATCACATATTCTCTTAGTAATCCTTTGCTTATAGTATTTATTTGGGAGTTGGCTCAACAAAAGCTCCGAGTTTGCTTTCAATTCTATGATTTGGCTCGTGTTCTCGGGGTGATGAAGGTTTGAGACGCAGTTGGAAGGTGCACTCGATATTAAGAGTTTTATCGTCAACTCCTTTTGGGCAATTTTAGAACCATAAAAATGTAGAAAGGAAATGAGAAGGACGATATGAGTTGGATTCTAAAATACTTAACAAGTTCGCTTTACCATTTGGTTGTTAAGCATTAGATCTTTTGTCGCATTGCAACTGGAACGTTGGGCTATACATCTTTTGTCGATCGAAAAGTTTCATTTTTATTGACTCGAATCTAACTTGCACTAACACAGTTTCCCAATCTTTATAGTGAATTAATACCATCGACTTGCACGAGCTACAAACTCTTTTTGTGAACTAATACCACAGACTTTCCATCATGTCGGTGAGCTAATGCTATTTAATAACAAGATTACATGCATTCACTCCGCAAAGTTAAATACAACTGACCTCGAGCCCATATGCTTCCTAACTTGTATATTTGTGATACACTACTAATCATTATGACAAGACAGTGTTACAATGAGTGGGCAAGCATCATGTGCATCATACCGATACATCTTCCAATATAATTCGTCACTAGTTCATACCCAGAATCCGATGATTACAGTTGAGCAATATGCAAATCCACCTACAATGTTCTAAAAATCATTTTCCGACAAATAGATGATATGGGCAAAAGGTTGATCTATTGCTGAGTGATTAGTATCGATTCCATCCCTTGCAACAGGCAAGTCTATAAAGAAGAAATGAAGAAAAAACTCTATTTCTAGGCATGACCAACCACAACAGACTGGCGAATCGGATACAACGAAAGATGATATGTCTGAGTCATATAACTCCACTTAGTGAATTGGTTTTTTCATTTAAAGCACCACGCTTACCATGGTCTTCTTCCTCCTAATGGAATAGTGTTGGACCCAGATATGGATCGATTCCCATTGCCTCGCCCCCTTGACCGGAAGTTTCCTCCAGAACCTAAAACCAACAGATAAATCAGCAATGAATCCGCCCATTCCTTGAATGTTGTCTAAAAGTAAATCACGCATACCTCCGCCCGACCTGGCCATCGAAGCCAGTGCTGGACTTACATTCTGACCAGCATCCTGTAGGATTTTAACAAGCTCCCTCGCAAACCGTATATTTGCTTGAGTGAAAAAGGTGAATGCTGTGCCTTTGGCGCCGGCCCGACCAGTACGCCCAATTCTATGAACATAATCCTCGAGGCTCGTTGGAAAATCAAAATTGACGACACATTTTATATCCTTCACATCTGCAACACATGACAACAGATAAAGATAAGGTTAGTACAACTATGAATAAAACAATCACCCATTTTCTGAACCCTCTGAAGGCCTTTTACTGAAGGGATGCAACCACATTATCCTTATCTCAGTAATACTTGAACTCTAATCAGGCATACAATTTTTGAATCACTAACTAATCACAACTGTCCTCAACAAGAAAACAAGTGCAGAATATCTGATGCTTCATGGGGTCGACTGGGCTGCATAACAAAATGAACCAGTTTCACATCTGTGGATGGGTGGTGATAACTTCATCAGCCATGTTATACTAGACGGCAGGACACTCGCGCATACCAATGAAAGAAATCATTGGCTAATTGTATTCGTGTTTTCCATTTTTTAACCGACACTTTTGAAAAATATAAAATAATGATCAACAATCTCTTTCCAAAAAAATCAGGATCCTTTTAACCAACAAACAGAACCAGTTTAATGCTTCATGTCCAGCAAACAAGGCTGCAATGTACAGGTGCCCAAACAAACAAGAAGCTCTTCAAGCAAGCCATAGTGCAACTCTCAACTACCAGTGAAGTTGGCACAGCTATCAAGGGACGGGCAACTAACAGTTTGAACCACAAAGCCCGAAACAATTTGAAACAGAAAAGTCAACTAAACTAAAAGGAAAAGAAATGACGAAAACCAGAGATAAATATAATATTGTTCAAAGGAATGTATAGGAAAAATTATACAATACTATAATACCAGGGGAAAAAATTATGTGATATCTGAGAAAGCATGCTACATGCCCATAGAAATTATTAAACAGCATGTGCCCAGAATCTTCTCAATATGCTATGACTTCTATTTCTATTGGATAAAATTGAACGAGCATGATGTGTGATAATGCTAAAAAAATAAACGAGAACAGATGAACCTAAAGCATGTCCTTCCTGTCATGCAAGTCCAGGGAACAAGTGACTCTAATTGGCAGCAAAAGTTTAGGTCGCTCCTATCCAAGAAATTGGTGGCATGATGTACCTATATCTTACTAATACTGTTCCAATTAAGAAAACTTAAGCCGTGACAGGTATTGACATATTTTTGTAACATGATAAAGACCATTTATCAAACTCCTGCCATTCCTAATCCTGTTGACCATGAAATGGGAAGAAAAAGGAATTCCTAAGTGCCCTGGCAGTATCGATGGTGCTTACACTCATATGAGGTAAACAATAGAACAAATTTGCTACCTTTGACATGAAGGCACCTCGTCATACACCACCCACAGAACCGGTTCAAGTTTTCAGAAACTGGTTAGCAGCCCGCCAACTTGCCATCAGCTTGAAGTAAATGAGAGAGATTCTAAGAGGCCTTAAACAAAGTGGTCCTACCAAGACCACGCGCGGCTACATCAGTGGCAGTCATTATCGGACTTCTGCCACTTTTAAACTCTGCCAGAACCCAGTCTCTTTCAGATTGAGCTTTATCACCATGAATTGATAATGCAGGCCATCCATCCATCCTGAGCTGCCTAGTAACCTGGTCACAACCTTTCTTTGTCTCAAGAAATATGAGGATTCGGCTTCCATCCATCACTTCACCCAAAAGTTTGATCAGCCTACAGTAGTAAAGGTGTAAAACACCAAAAACACAAAGATCAACAAATATTTTGCACATAGTTGTAAAATTAAATAATTCATCTTACCTTGGATACTTCTCAAGCTCCGAGATGACTTCAACAATTTGCATTATTGACTGATTAGCTTTCAGATCAGTAGATCCTATGATTATCTATAATTTCAGTTCATTAGTCAGTAATTTTCAATTTCTTGAACACTAACCTTGCATGTCATCTAATATTCGAGAATGAATATGCACACCTTATAGGGGTTTTGTAAAAATTGTCTAGCTAAAGCCTCCACTTCTCTTGGCCATGTGGCACTCCAATATAATGTTTGTCGGTCTGGCCGAATCTGTCATGGAAGTCCTTTATTCTTCAGCATTAAGTAGTAATATCGGAAACCATATACACTTCAAATGAATAATATAGAACAGAAAAGGCAACAGAATAATATCGGAAACCATATACAATGCATCATAAAAATTTAGATCTCCAATTGCTACCCTAAAGAATTTCAGGCAACAGAAAAAGCAGAAATTTTTTGAAAAGAAGAGCAAAGAAACAACAAGAGAAGAAAGTCAAAAGATACAAATCTATGGAAAATAAGTTAGAACAGATTAATGCATGTGGTGGTTTAAATTTATAACATATGTCCAACCCTTAGGTTCAAAAAATAATTGAAAGTAGAGGGAAAAGAAAGCAATAAAAGTATCTTAGAAATTTAAATTGTTTTCGTAAAAGAGAATCACAAAAGCATATCCAAACCAACAAATCTTAGAATTACAACAGGTTGGTTTAAGTCACATAATAAAATAATAATAAAATATTCACTTTAGATTAAGATATTCAAACCAGCTGCTTGTGGAATTTGGACTTATATCTTTAAAAGGTATAGTTATCATAACAATCATTTAGCCTAAAATAGCCTGTATGTTTTGCAATTTAGTTTCTTTTTCTTCGTTAATCAAGCACCATGGTAGCCGAAAATCATATATGTTCCTGAAAAAAAACAGATGCTTCAAAATTTGTAGGCCATGTTGCAGATGACAAGGAACTCAGCTGTATGTCCGCTTATAATTGTGTGACACCAATAACAGCAAGGGAACAAATGCAGATCTCAGTGGGAACATTTAAGCCAAGAGGTCAGATATTAAAAAAAAAACTAAATTCATGCTTATAGTAGCACAAACTAAATTCAGTGGGAACATTTAATGCAGTAAATATTTTTGATCATTTCTGAAATTCATTTATACCTAGAAAAGAAAAGGCAATTTAACAAAGTGAAAATAAACATACCTGAGACACAATTTTCCTTATTTGAGGTTCAAACCCCATATCCAACATGCGATCTGCTTCATCCAATACAAGATACGTTACTCTACGTAGGTTTGTATGGCATGCTTCCAACATATCAATTAGTCGACCAGGTGTTGCAATGACAATTTCAACACCTACAAACACAAAAGGTTAGCCACATAGTATTAGCTATCCTGAAAAACTAGTGATTGCTCGGAAGAAAGATCCAACAAGGCAAGCAGACAACTACAATCTCAAAGTCAACCTTTTTTAAGATCACGAATCTGCGGTCCCTTTGGTGCCCCACCATAAATGCATGTGCTTCTGACAATTGAATGTAATCCAAACTTCAAAGATTCTTCTTGTATCTGAACAGCAAGTTCTCTTGTAGGTGCTAGGACCAGAACAATTGGACCTTCACCATAAGCTGAAAAATAACAATCACAAGGAGTGCAACCTGAGTTAACGAGCTCATAACAAATCATTAAAGGTACATTTTTTCTTCCAAAGTTACTAACCCAATCGAGGCTGTGCATTAACATGCACCAGTGCGGGCAGCAGATAGGCTAATGTCTTTCCCGAACCTGTCTCAGCAATTCCAACCATGTCCCGGCCTTTCAAGGCCATTGGCCACCCTTGAGCTTGAATAGCTGTTGGTTCAATGAACCCACGCTTCTCTATCACCTGGAGAATGTTGGCTGTCAAAGTAAAGGATAATCAGCCAAAAAATAATAGTAAAGCATATCAATAGTTGAAACCTTGGAGCAAAGGCATAAACTCATGAATCAAATTCTTGCTTTGGTGGAAACAAATAGTACTTAAATAATGACCAAAAATTAAGTAACAGTTGCTATAAAGATCATAATTTTGCAACTATAGAAATATACCTTGCAACACAATTAAATCTCCACATGATATTTAATGGCTTGTATGAAGAAGGAACTAAACAAATAGCCACACTGCTACTACTAATTACAAGTGAAAAAATGCCAATAAACAGAATTTATATGCTTAGTTTAAATTTCAAAAAAAGATGCATTTGTCAGAAGGTAACAAAAAATGAAGGTTAAACCATGCCTCACAGTTCCAAATTGAGAAGCTCTACTAACCAAGTGAAAAAAATTCCAATTTTTTTTTGTCCGAAGTTAGCTACCAATTTGTACTATAACTCATGGTTGCTAAAATACAATAAACCACTCAAAGTTACACAAATCAAGTTCCTAAGTGATACAGAAAGATTGTGAAAAGCAAATGAATAGTTTCTAATCTTAAAACAATGACACAAGTAAACTATGTGTTAAGAATGATACAAGGATCACCGAACACTAGTTAATTCAGAAGGTCCCAATCTCACATACTACAAAAATATTAAAGAAATGGTTTCTGATAACTTCACAAGGGGCAAACAAATATTATATTTTTTAGAACTTGAAGCAAAATATAAGTTATCTGAGATGCTTTTACATAAAAACTTAAACCAATGCATCCATGTGTTCAATAAATTAGCTGAATCAGAAGTCCTTATTCAATTTCAGACCTTTATAGCCCGCCTTGTACTTATATCTTCAATATTTCCACATATAAGACCTGCTACAATCATTTAAGTGAAAACATAACTATATCTCATTTTGTGCACAATGGACCACAATCCTTGTCGAATAAAAAGGCCTGGTTGTTTTGACAAAATCCCTAGTATTTCTTGTGCAAGAGACAGATTGAATTGACGTAATTATATCTTCAATATTTCCACATATAAGACCTGCTACAATCATTTAAGTGAAAACATAACTATA